TATATCCGTGGTGGGTGACCAAACTAATAATGCCCTATCGGGACATTGATCCAATCGACGTTCTGAAATATATGATAAGTAATATAGGAAGTTTTGTATGACTCGCTAATTAACGGAGGCTTTACAAGGTCCTAAAAGATACGTTCCAGCATAGAGCACAAAATTTGGAGGAGTATAAATTTTAATAAGCATCAATAATTTTTAGAGTGTCCCTAAAAACATACAAAAATCGATTACTATAATATTGACTAATATGTCCCTACCCTAGAGCTCTAAGGCTAAGTTCCAATATTCACTGCCAATAGTGAAGATCTATAGCATAAATTACATGCACTATAAATTTTTAGCACTAGCAATGATTAAATGGGTGAAACTTTCTTTTTTTTTTGAAGGAGGGAGGGTTATTGGATTTATCGTTATTGGTGTTTCATATACCTGCAACTCTAAGGCTAAGGTGCAAAAGCAAATTCCAGTATAGGGTACATACGACACTCATAATGCCTCCATTTAAATTAATATTTTTAATAACATAAAGATCATGAAGTACCATTGATAGGAACAAATTCTGGAACGACGACTTGATAATCTCGTCCAACTCTTATCTTTTCTGCTGGAACTTTGAGAGAAAAACTTTAGTATTTCAACTAATTATATAGCCATTAAAAGATGAAAAATATAATTATATCTGTCGCATTTGTTTTAATAAGTAATAATGATTGAAGGATTTTAGTAACAAATTTCTACATTTATTCATTTCAATTATTTTCCACGTATAGCATAAAGTAGTAACATCATCTTAATATATTCTCATTGCGCTATTATAAGAATTTTTTTATAGAAAACATTTATATGAGAAATAAAAGTTTGCAAAAAAATACAATTTTTCAAAAAATATTTGCAATTCCAAAAGACGTTTGAAACGGTGAAGACTCTTGGATTTTTACATGTTTCAGTACGAAATTGTTCATTAATTCTGACTCAAAATGTTCCCTCAAGTATTTTTCATGTACAATTAAACGTCCCGATAATCGGTAATTGAGACGTCGCGCGTTAACAGCGAGATGAGAATCGACAGTACCTCCTTCCTCTTCACTGGACGAGTCGGACTGTACGTTAGGGCTGGGGCCTCGCGATCGACGACCGTTACGCACATTTTCCGAATTTCTCTCTGCCAAGACCATCGCGACGTAAGTTTTCTCGTCGGATGAAAATCGCAACGCGTTAAATCGCGCGGATTCGTCGGCGACGTAGCAAGCAGAACGCGAGATGCGATAAAGTCCTTCGCAAATGCGTCTGAATCAGTACCCAACTGCTCACGTTCACAATTCTCCTCAAAACTGCATGATAGTATGGAGAATTCGACCGAGATTCTTCAATTGTCGTTTCGCGCGATCGTAGCGAAAGTAAAATGGCCGACTACAACGCGCGACCTCATTGGTCGGCGTCGCGCTTAGGGAAAAAATGGTTTGACTAAATTTCTCGTAGTAACGACTCGCGAAGAAAGCGAGCACCATATGAAGTCGTTCGCGTTTCACGTTTTTGTTTCCTTTACACAAAATTCTCTCACTTCCGTTCAAAACTCTGAAATCAGTGTGCAGCAGCGAAGCAGATTTCGTATCCTCGGATAACGCTGTGAACTGGTGGACACGCGTATACGAGACTGATTCGCGACTCGCGAGTCAATTTTAGCCTTTAGCGTAGAAGACTAAAGGTACGTTTATATGGACTAATATTTTCCGCGCTAATAGTTCTGGCACATCAATGCGATGTGCGACGTGATATGCCTACTACACACTAGACACGATCGCGATGAACAATAAGCGGATAATACAGATTCTTATTATCATACAAAAATTTTATTTGTAATCGTAAGGTTCTCTTAAGCAACTCGGCCAATCACAATCGAGCGTTTTAAAATATGAGATCGCAATTTTGATTATGGTTAGTCGATTTTACTTTATGATTACAACTAAACATTTTTATATAGCATCTGCAATAAAAGTAGCGATCGTAGGATTTTAAGGGGATCAAATTGATACTTGATATTTGTCAATTTTTATCACGTGACTGTTAGATAATACGAAAGATTAATTAGAAAATTTGTACGTACATATGTGAGTGCAATATTAATGTAGTAGTATATAAAGATATGTCGATGTCGCATTTTATCGATAAGTCAGCGATCTCATCGGAGTTCGGGTCTCGCTTTATCCTCTTAAAAAATTAACTAATCACAATCAAGTATGAGAAGAATAATCGACTATAATTCATCAATTTTCTACGACTTCTATTGCAACTAAAAAATTCTTTAATATGATTGCCCTTAGTTTTTCATCTAAATGTATATACTAATCATATTTAAGAATTTTAATTCAACAGTTGCAAAGCTGCTTTTTCTGCTGAACGCAGCCATTGTGGACACCGCGTTAGATCTAGGCTGTGTTCCGTTATGCACTGCTAGTACTGAAAATCTATAGTTCACGTTACGTATACTATAAATTTTCAGTACTGACAATGTATATCGGAACACGCCTCTAGACGAATACAACAGGGAGCGTTTACTCAACTATTAAATTTGTTGAACACAGCCAATGAGCGCGTTTAAGCCGGGCAATGTTGCTAGTCGTCGAGCGATTGAATAGAATTGGTTGGATATATAAGTAACAACCAATCATAATAATGATTCGGTAAGTAGGCTAACCGCTTTGTTGACTTGAACGCGCCCAATGGTTGCGTTTAGCAGAGAAAACTAATCAATTAAAGCTTAGTGATTCTTTAATATGATTAGTTCCTACACTTAGATCTAGCGAAGAATTAAAAGCAAGAACCAATCATATTAAAGAATCATTAAGCGATAATTGATTTTGCTGCATATAAAAAAATTAATTTTAACTGTTTTTTCATGCTGACCTTCCATGCTTTTTAAATCAAATAGATCATGTAATAAAAATTAGCCAACGTCAATTTTGATCAGCTGACTTATACTTTGACACTAAAAATGAGCGCTGAGCGTCAACATGAAAAAGCTACATTTTTAAGCAAAGATTCCACATACTTTATACATTAAAATTGCATATGTCATTATTATTTAAAATTTTGTGTAACCTATTTTAATTATATACTGTTGATCCGTATTCAAAATCTTCTTTTACGATATATATTATATATATTAGAGCAAATTTAGCATATATAACGTTACGTATACTTTTTAATATATATATTATGTAATATATATTAATATATATTATATAAAATAAATAACATCTCAGCAAGAATTAATAATAATGATTGTTGAATCGATGTCTAATTAATATTAATTTGATATGTGTATCAATTTGATAAGTCACTCATTAAGATGACATACTTTTAATAACATAATTTTGTAGCAAAAAATGAATCTTGCACAAAGTTTTTACACAAAAAGATACGATTGTCACTGTAATTTCGTCATAAGATTTTAATTCTAGTACATCCATGTGCAATCGTTTTATTGTGTCGCATTGAGAATCAACTTTACAAACATCGATCGTTAAAAAAAGATTTGTTCTCCTCGAAGATGCATTAGGTTATATCGCAATTTAGAATGTTCCGAAAACAAGATAAGTAATCCCTTTGTACATAAGTGAAGTTCGTCGTATCTTGATATGACTTATCGGAAATACTTCAACAATCTGTGTATATCAGAATGTGTGTTTTCGACAAAAATAAAAGACAAAAGCCAAGAATTTCTAAGATATAAAAATTTATTAACTCTTTTATAATTTCATATCTACGGATATTACTTTATAAATTTATTTTCAAAATATATTTTTATTTTCTATCTCTAAACAACGAAAAAGGCTTTTTGTAAAAATAATTATTTGTGTAGAATCGAGTAAAATACGAGAACTTAGTTGCGCACCTAATATTTTGTTTTTTTTCTTTGCATGTTACAATACGCTGAAATAACGAAAATGAGCATATATGTATACAAAATTAACGGATGTAGCAACTGTGCCATAGTGACGCCTTCGATGATGTCACGCGACGTGTATGATCGCATGACTGTTCACCCGTGAGTCTCTCGATACTGTAGTCATTTCCGTCAATATATTTTCGTACCTCCAGCAAACGCGACGTATCTGACATGCGGAACGATATTACTTTATCACTAGCAAGGAAGAGGCGAGTCGATTGCAACGATCTTTGCTCATTTAATTGGTACAATTCCGCAATATCCGGGATAACCTCAATCTCTCGATGCTCATCAAGTAGAACGCTGCCTCGCCGCGGCGCCACCTTCGTTACCGTCGCTGTTGTCACATTTCTCTCCTGTCGTCCATAGCCCCCATTCACAGTCTCCTGTGGGCTGCCGACAGTATCAGTGTGAGAGGTTTTCGCCACCGATTTAACGTAAATATCACATTTACTGGAGGACTTCGAACCGATTCCGCCGCATGTTCCGCTGTGATCGTTGAACTCGCATTTACTCGCACGGCTCGCCATCCATTGTCACTTTGTCGTTCGCTCTCGCCTCGTGCATATCCGTTTCCGCGATAACCAAAAAGCCTCATCCTGCAGGCAGGCACGGCTCTCGCTGTAAATCGCGTGATAAATCCGTGCTTTATCGCGATACTCTCCTTGCGATCGTTTACCGATCTCACATCCGGTGTTGATGGAAGATACTTGGAATCTTCGGCGTTCCTCGCGGCCCATATCGTTCACTATAAATCCTGTTGCTCGTGTTAGCTGATTATTATATATATATATATTAATAAATAATTCGCATCCCGTCTCCTTTTTTGTATTTTGTGCTGTTTACATCAGCGTCTCTGTTTACTCCATTCATAAATTTTGCCGATGCACGGCAGCTTCTGTGTCTCGTTGCTCTCAATTGTCCCTAATAAATAATTCATGAATTGTTTATTACTTATCAAATATTTTATTATATATGTTTTATTATATTGTTAAGTCTTATCGTATATTTGTCCTACATGATTACATAAATATGTTGATACTTCATGCATTGCATGGAGTATAGTATATGCGTTTGATATTATAGTTTCTATTTATTGCATTATTTAATATACTTTTATCAAATTATTATATAATAAAATAATTTGGTACATGAAGAATGTAATAGATTGGAAATTTAAATTCTAATTTTATTTCATTTTTTGATCATTTTTTTCTATACTTTTTTCTATACTTTTCAAACGTGATTTATATTTCTATATGACATTCTTATTATTGTAATTAATTAAATACTAGTAGATTTAATTGTGCTGTTTTCATATATTTCCAAAATTTTTGTAGCTCCTAAGATATATAAATATAATAGCTATTTATATATGTGTATATATACATATATATATATATATATATATATAGCTCTAGCTAATTTATATCCTGTTGAAAAAGGTATTAAAATAAATAATGTATTTTGTGGAACATATAATTGTATATTGCTAATGGATACACAAATTTTAATTGCATTTATATTTAGTTAATTTAATTTTTATATTATAAATATTATAATTTATAATTTATGCAGATGTAACATAGGGGTTAACGCACTGCTTCTAGATGATCTGGATTCATTTATGTTCCAAACGGTAGGACATCAAGGTGTTAAGTATATTGCTCAAGCTATAGGCTTGCCTATATATCGTTATCCAACATTTGGCAAAGCAAACGTGCAAGAGAAATATTATTATCCTACAGAAAGTGATGAAGTTGAAGATCTTTTTAAGCTTTTGAGTACAGTAAAGGTAAATTAACTTCTGTATTTTCTAAGCTATATACATGTGACATCAATCTCTGTATCAATTCCAATAATTATACATATTTTTTTCAAAACATATTTTTTCAGGAACGTGAAAATATAGAGGCTGTGTCAAGCGGTGCTATTCTTAGTGATTATCAACGAATTCGTGTGGAAAATGTGTAATTATTATTTATTTCTTCTATTTGAATTTGTAATATTATATAGTTGCTGCTATATTAATTTTTTTCGAATATATTTTTCTTGTAGGTGCAATCGTTTAGGTCTTATTTCCTTGTCGTATTTATGGAGACGGGACCAGGATGAGCTGTTAAATGAAATGATACAGAGTTCTGTTAACGCAATATTGATTAAAGTTGCGGCTTTAGGCCTTGAAATCAAACATTTGGGCAAATCTATATGTGAAATGCAACCTCATCTCATTAAAATAGTAAGTCAAGTTGTTTCTTATTTAATCAAATATGACATAATGAGTGTTTTTATTAATATTTTTTATAATTGTGTCGATAATGTACAGGATATCCCCTAATTATTGACAAAGCATTCGTGTTCAGGTAGAGCGAACTAAACTGATGACGAATTCGTTCATTTGCATTCCACTAGATTAGTGCATAATAAAAGCTGCTATACACGAAATAAGTTAAATGTAAAAGCAGGGTTGGGTAAGTTAACTTTTTTTTTTAACTAAGTTAAGTTAACAGCTTTGAAAATTTAACTTAGTTAAGATAGAAGTTAATCCATAGTGACATTAATTGAATTAAAAGTTAAATTAAAAAAAGTAATTAAAAAGTTAAAAGTTAAATTTGTTTTATTTCATGATTATTTCAAGTTAACTTTTCTTTTAACTAAAAAAACTAAGTTAAAAAATTAACTTTTTTAACTAACAAGAGACTCACATATGTATTTCACGAATTTTGATCAGCTTTTGCATGATTATTCTGAGCATCAAAAAAATAATCCCTGTGAAGCAGTAAATTATACTTCTGCGTATTTTAAAAAAAAAATCGTGATTTTAGGTCATAATGACGGACTTTCAAATTTCTTTATTTTTTGCTCAAACATAAATGAAATATTTGGATTTATTTAAAATTAGGAAAACGTATCTCCAACGGACACGAATGTATAAGCATATAATATATAAATAAAGTAAGGATTCGTAATAAAGTAAGGATCCAATCCTGATGTTAACATTTAAATATAACTATGTAAAGTTAAAAAGTTAAGAGTCTAAAATGTAATTAAATGAAGTTAAAAAATTAAAAAATTAATTAAATTTTTAACTTTTTAACTTAGCATTATCCAACTTTGTATAAAAACATATTATATGAATGTTTACATATCCGATAATCATGTTATTTAGCAGAATATAAATGTATTGATATTGATATTATATAGCATTTATATAGCAGCCTGTAATATGCATCAATACAGTGTAGTGTGAATGACCGAATTCATCGAAAAATCCTACATTATTTTGCAACTTCCGCAATAATCAACCAGATAATAATTTCTAAAGATCGCCAAATGAATATGAAATGCCAGCGCATGGCGAAATAGCATCGCCTAATGCGGGAAGGTGTTATCTTTTGCCGTTCATGCTTTGCCAATATCGCTTGTAATAAACAACTCTGCACACCTAGCAACATATATAGCTGGATAGTTGTATCTCGTCGCGTGCTTGCATTTGGCAGTAAGCCAGATAGATGCGCGATCTTTATTAATTTTATTAATTGTTGTGAAAATTGCAAAATGATACAGGACTTTTCGACTCAAATCCTTTACAGGACTTTTCGACTTTAATCCTTTTTATCTACATATGAGCGCTTTGTCAATAATTAGGAGATATTCTGATATCTTGATTATGGATATAATGAAACAAAATTGAAAATATAGCTTCAAATTTATTTTTGATAATCTATAAATTTTATTTATAGAAAGAAAAATATGGAGTAAACATATGTGGAGAGGGAGGAGAATATGAAACTTTTACTTTAGATTGCCCCTTGTTTGCTAAAAGTATTGTAATGTAAGTATTACATGTTTACATTTATGTATTATGTACTTCTGAATAACTATATATATATATAAATATTTCATTTTTTAATTTTGTTTAGCGATGAGTATGAGAGTATTGTAAATTCGAGGGATGACGTAGCACCTGTAGGATACCTCGGATTTACAAAGATCCATTTAGAAGATAAGGATGTAAGTTTTTGGATATCACGTTGATAATTGTAAGACACTGTCAAGTGTCATCAAAATGAAGACTTATTTTTTAGAATGGAGAATTGGAGAAGTTAAGTCTATCTGAGAGACTAAAAAATGTTTTGATAAAGTCGCCACAGGATTATATTGCTGAAATCATTGGTCCTGAACTACATGATGGTTGTAATTTATCAGAAGATGAAAATGATGAGCATGCATGTGAAAGTAATAGTTTGAAGGCATCGAACTCAGGTAGAAAACTTTGGAAAAAATAGTGTTTACTACCTGAAAAATCTGGAATCTTTTATCCCCAAAAATCACGGATTTTTATAGAATTTTATTCGAATTTAGAGAAATTTTGAGAATTTTACTTTTAAATTTATAAGCTCTATTTTTTTTAAAACATTTCTTTTCCTAATGTAAAATGTTAACAATTAGCAGTGAATATGGCATACGCGTTCATGTATATTCACGTACATTCTCGTGTATATCTTGCAGATTTTTAGTAAAAAATTAGGGTGACACATCGTAGAAGACAGCAGAATATAATAATTCATTGATATTACATTGTAGTGTTGTATCTTGCCATTTTTTATAAGTTTCGCAACTTCATAATTTTAGAAAATGATAGATTAATGTCTAATTTCTTCATCTCTAGATAACTTTATCTAAGAGATATCTCCCAGAATACAATGGAGATATCTCCTGAATAAGATTATCTGCAACTTATCTGTGAAAGTGAAGAAATTGGGCATTAGTCAAAACTGCATCTATTAGAATCTCTATCTTCTACTAGTTTTCAATATATTGCTTTATTTGTATTGCTTGCATTCCAATTTGACTTTTTTATTTCAAACTTCTTTGTTTCATTTACAAATTCTCTTGGAATTTAAAAAAAAACCTGAAAAATCCTCAATTCTCAAACAATTTTTTTACAAGATTTCAGCAAACATCATGAAAAAGAACAGAGAAAAATGCATATAAAATATATCAAAATATATCTGTGTGAATGTACAGGTCAGTTTCATCCTCCGAGCCCAATGGAGATTTTGTACGAAGATGAAGATTGCCCAGATGCTCCGGTCGTTAACAGAAATCAAACAGGATGGTTCTGGTTTGGAGGTATTATAGGAAAACATCCGGATATAACACCTGCTATAGAAGAGGCACTGGAAAAACTAAGCAGTAAAATTCACATCTTAATCGCATACTTTTCGGCTTAGTAATTATTTAAATTAACAATTATTTCTTATTCGAAATTTAATTGATAATATAAAAAATCAATATTAATAAATCTTTTTTACATATAATATTTGTCTAATTATAGCTCTGATACAAAATGAAAATTTGTGTCCATCTGACATAGTCGCGATAACATTGTATATAAAAGACATGTCGAATTACAAGGCTATAAACGAAGTATACGTTTCCTGGTTGGGTAAGAGAAATCCGCCAGTTCGTGTATGTGTAGAATGTCCTTTGAACGTACATGTTGCACTTGATGCGACTGCATATAAGGAGAGTCAAGAAGGCGGCGATAAATGGGCCTGTAAGCGACACACGATGCAGGTTCAAAGTATAAGCCACTGGGCACCCGCCAATATTGGTCCTTACTCTCAGGCTGTTCGTGTAAGTACAATTTTCAGATTCGGACTTTGCATTGCATATCCTATGAGTGGAGATATTGATCTCCACTCATAGGATATATAGAGAAAAAATAAAAAAACTTTTATTATGTAATTTAAATCTAAGTTATCGATAGAGCCTAGAATTTGATCGATTCATCCATTATTGAGGTGAGAAATCCGATAATCTCACAATTTTTTGGTTCGTGTATAATAGGTCTCGGGAGTCTCATTATGTATGTATGTATGTATGTATGTATGTATACATATATATATATATATAAATTAATAAAATGTATATTTGACACCTAAGGCGTGTCTTGTATTTTTAAGGAAATTGATCTTAAAATCCCTTTCAATATTATTATTTAGTCTTTTTGTCTTTTACATGAAAAAATTTAAGATAATTTGTTTTATAAAAAATGTACTTTTCTGTATAGGTAGGTGATGTTATTCTAGTTGCTGGGCAAATACCTTTGGTGCCTGGCAATATGAATCTTCTAGATATGAATATTAAACGGCAGTGTCGTTTAACGTTGAGGCACATAGATCGCATTGTTAAGGCTATGGATGCGAAACTTCGAGATATAGTACAAGGTATCTGTTTCCTGACTCACTCTAGTTACATAGCAGATGCAAGGAAGGAGTGGGAAAGGAGAACTAGAAATGCTATTATAGATTACGTTGTTGTACCAAATTTACCACGTGGTGCTCAAGTTGAGTGGTGTGTTTGGGCTCATAGGGATAATAACCGATTCGAGTGTAAGTATTCAAAGCTTATCTGACGAGGAAGGTATATTTGCTGTAAGTTAAGTAGAAAATATCTTTTTTCTTCATTTTTTTGTTATTTTTACAGTATAACTTATAGCAAATATATTTTTCTATTTTTTAAAAGTTAGCGAGAGATGTATTATTACATATATCTTATTATTTATTGCAGACGAGGAAACAGGAAAATGTGTGGCTAATTTTAGGATAGCTATCAGACGTAGATGGAATTATGAAAATAATGTTTCGGCGATTGTATGTTACATGTCTACCGGTAAATTTCTTTTGATAACTTATTTAAAACATATCTTTCGAATTTCTTTTCATAAATATATATTTTTATCTATTTTAAATATGTAAAATACTGAAATCTATAGTTTAAAAATAGTAAAAATCTTAAAAAATGAAAAATATATTAGGTGTTGGAATTAATTCGTAGCGTTTTTTAATGAAAGAATGTTATTTATATAATAGTATAATTGTAGTAGAGTAGAATATATATAATAATAAATCTGAATAAATTATTGATATCAATTATTAATTTGTTACACTTAAATCAATTCGTATGAATATTTAAAAATATTTTTAACAAAACTTTTTCTAAATTTGATATTTTTATGGACAGGTTCATCCAATTCCACTGGTAATTTGACAACGGAGGCGAGTTTGCCATCCATGGAGCTGAATGCAAATGAATTGTCGGAGGCTTTCGATTATCTATTGTGTAAACTCAGGAAAGGCTCGCAAAGCGCAAATCCAACATGTATTTTGCGAATATTTTACAAAGTCGGCAGCTTTTTGGGCCCAAATTTCCTTCACAACGTCCTGTCGAAGTTTTCTACGCAGAATTTAGTGATTATCATTATACCGGCTATTCAATTACACAATTTCAGTACTTTATTATCTATATATGGTATTAGGCACGAGTAAATACTCAAAATGATTTTTTACACTGTCAATTATTCATCGGAATTGGAGCGCACATTTAGTATAAAAAAATTGATGCTTGAAAAACAGCACGCAGGTAAGAGAGCTGTTTTGACACGAGAACATGAAAAAGGAAAAAATACGTTTAAAGTTTTTTTGTTTCATTTTATAGAATACTCATTTTATAGAATACTCACGGAGTGAAACTATAATTTGACTGATCGTGAATTACAATCGAAATTGTGTGAATCTTTGTGTATTTTTTTTTAAAACAGCACTTTTGTTTTATACATCTTTTTACAGCTATTGTTTTAATTTTTTCGACCGTTATGAATCCAATGCTGCTCGAAGGAGAATGAAGGCATTGCAACGGAATTTAAAATTAAGTCTTGTGTACGTGCGCAAATAATTCTCGATGTTATTTTGCTTCACTGACGGTCCGATAGATATATTTGAGCACTCGCGTTTCATACGCGTTATATACGCGAGAGACACGGCTGTTGGTTCGACATTTACTGACGATGTAGTTACACCGCTGTTTCTTCTAGCCACACTTTTATGTAGTTTTCTCGCAAGCCCCATTTTCCTACGAATATTGAAGATACATCCCGTATCCTTTTGAATATAATAGCAACAAAAGTGCAGCTAAGAAGAAACAGACGCTATATTATCGTATATCGAGTACTACTAGTCAATGACGGGTCAAGTGCAATTCTAAGCTGTGAGCCCGTCCCCGTTTAGCGCATAAGTGCTCTTTAACAACGCGACTACATATTAGGTATAATAATACTCGTACTGCTGATTACGCTATGAGATTTCTTTTTTCTTTTGCTCAAAGTATACGTTATTTTATGGCGTTGTAAATCATATGCGGAATGTTAACATGTGTGATGTTTCTCTAAGCGACATTAAATCGTGCACAGCCATTTTAAACCAGCACTCGACATTACTCGAATTCTAAACGAAAGGAAGGAAACGAATGATTGTTGTCGCGAAGAAGAAATTGTGGGTTATCGCTGGATGTCTCCGGTGCGATTTGATTTATGATTGAGCACGTAGAGCATATGTGAAACATACATATGTGTATGTATGTATGTATATACATATACATTCTTCACAAAGATGTTCTTCGCTGTCACTAATGCTGCCGGTATCGCTAGATAATTGCATTACCGATTGATTGAGTGTGTCACCGAAATTATGGTGGAAAAAAATATACCATGACTAGAACAATATCACAGTTTTAAAAAAACCAGGAAAAGAAATTGAAGTCGGCCAATTCGATATAACATGCTATGGCAGTAGTTTTGTATTTTTCGCGCGTACGCACTGTTTAGAAATATCTTGTACAGATTGCATTGCAATACAAACTCTAAGATTATTCTGACGTAATATTATATACAAGGTTGATGCAACGATATGCCAAAGTTTATATTTTGCAACTTGCTCATTTTTTAAACAGTCGCAATTACTATCGTTATTCTGTATGTGTACATAATGCAACATAATCTAACACTTATATAAATATATTATAACTGATTTTTGACAGCGAAAAAGAGAAAGAGCGCACTGTTCAAAATGTGGATACTCTGTAATGATAAGTATGTAAAAACACATGCAAAAGAAAGGATGTTTATTCACATCTGATTTCCGCAACAGAACACTAATCCGAGGATTATGTCGTAAAAGAAAAATAAAGAGAATGATATATATTTTTAAGAAATAGCTATTTTTTTAGTTTCACATTTTATTTCTTTCCCTTCTGTTCTACATATATGTAGCGATCGACAAAAAAGACAATATTTTACAAAACTTATTAACGGTATACTGATATGATTCTTTCTCTTCAGGAATATTCGAGTTGATAATTTAGAAAGATGTAAAAGCATAAATTTATCCAATAATATTGTATTTTTTCCGAAAATGAAGAGAAAAAATGCAGTCTTCTCTGATGATAGTAATATCTTGAATAAGGAAAGATGATATTGACAAAAAAAAGATTTAATTTTTAATATATTTGTTTAAAATTTTGAAAAAAATTATATTAATATATATAATTTATTAAAAAGAAATATACATGTACACATTATTAATATATGCATTAATATATAATAAATAATATATATTTATATTAACTAGAATATGTATTATTTATTAATACGTATACATATATTCATATACATATATATATGTACTTAAAAAATAAATTATATATATTCTACACTTGATTGATGAAAAATTTTTTTTATTATCACGATTACATTAAACATAAAATTTAGATTTTTACATAAATAATTTTATCTATACAGAAACATTTAGAAAATCACTCGCTTTCGATTTTACAATGCTTATAAGAACAATAATTATATGTTCTTATTTTGCATTTATATTCTTGTAAGTGATAAGCCGACATAATTTTCGCAAATTTGTGAAATGTAAACGTGTGAAATGTAACGTCTTATCTTTTGATTTATATTAAATAAATTCTTTTTACTTTATAAAAGAATTTTTTTAATACTGTAAAAGAGAGTGTTATAAAATGCACGTTTAACCAAGCTTATGGTACAATAATAGATTTCGAAGTTCGTCAAAGAATAAAGAATTTATAATCAAGGGAAAATGCGCGATTTCTCATATCGTCACTCCGTATCTTGTAATTTTGACATGCTCAAAACTAAACACATTCAGTCTTTTTCTTACTAAACAATTCACTGTTCTCGCGATAAACAATATGTTAAAAATTCATAATTAAAAGTTAAATGACTCATTTCGCAACTATGTACAATGTAACTCGTTTGTCATGAAGTACTCCAGAAGAAAATCTTGCGCGTATTTGTCTACAAACGCACTCAATAAAAAACTTATTTACTTTAATATAATAGTATAATATACACCACTGGCATTGGTATTATACAACACGATATTTTCTTTTCCTTGACAATGTTACAATAATTATATTCACGTTTTGAGCACCTTCGACAATAAAGGCTTTACATGCTGGCTAGTCGATGGTGTACAGAAATCACATTGATAATTTTTCTTGTCAACCACTATTCCCTTGGTCTCCACGCATTCTGAAAAAAAAAAATTATATATTGCTACACATACATACATTATTCTATACAATATAAAATATCACGAGACAGTAGCTTTAGCCTCTAAGAACAGAGGTGTTTAGATATTTTTGTTTTGAGCAGATAATTCTTTTTTAAGATTCTTTATTTTTCGATCTAAAGCAAAAAATATCATCAAAAAATAAATAATGTTAATAAAAAGATGATAACAAAAACAAATAATCTTTCAATGAATAAAGATAGACAATATGTCAGATTAAATTAAACACCTTTGCACCATGACATCCACTATACAATTTATATTTCTTATTTGACAGAACAAGATAGAAATGCAAATGTACATATGTATGCACTAAATAGCAATTAATTTAAACATGGCTTTTAAAATAGCGATGATCAAACAAAATTCGATGGCGCGTGCAAATGCTCCTGTATTGCAACATGCAATGATCTTAACACTTTGAGCGTCTGAAAGTTAAACTTCGTGGCACATAATGTTTTTGCAAATCAAGTACATGAAATAAAATTTCTGGGAGTACAATAAAAATTTAATAAAAATAAAAGAATGTAGTAAATGTAGATTCATGTAGCTAATTATATGCTTATTAATTTCATCGATTGAAGTCGGTTTTTGATGAGTCTATGTAAGGTTTGCCATGATTTTTGTTCACATGAAATCAGAAACACAAGTTAATGTGCAAATACATGTGTTCGGCGCTCAAAATGTTAAACTAACTGAATCATATGAAAACTTGGTGTCAATACCTAAGTGCAGATACTTGTCACATGCGCTGCAATGCACTAGATTCGCTTCCAGGTCGAGCCTTTGGGCGGTATGACAGCGACTGCAGTGCGGGCAATAGCGACCCTTTCGCCACAGCCTTGTTATAAAGATCATGTGGTTAGTGAATTCAGGTAAGGGTATATTATGTATTATGATGGTGCTTGGTACATGGAGAAAGGGGGAAGGCAATACATTACATACTAATACACTTCATATCATTATTTTTTAGGCTTTCAACAAATGTATGTTGAAAATAGAGTTCTTAACTCACAATTTATTAAAATAGCATTTCGATAAATTATAATTAAAAAATAGAGGAAGAACTTTATTTTTTAATTCATTTCAGTTAATTCTCTTTAGTTTATGTAACTGTATTTAATTTTAAGAAAATTTTAAGTAAAACTATATAGAGACCGTAAAAAGGTATAGTTATTCCAAAATACTTAAAACTTTAAAACTGTATCATAGAAATCAAATTAAAAACAAAAAATTATTTTATTTCTCGATAGAAAATATTCTTTGCAAAGTACATCTCTTACTGAACACCCTATATAGATTTGACAACGAAAAGAGAAGATGTCGAAAGTGTTATGATATGAGCAATGGAGATTATCAAGCAATTAAAGCCCAGCGTTTTTCGAAAAATTAATAGTTGACTATATACTTACTTCGAACATGGTACACAGAGCGTCGAGACATATATTCGAGTATTTTTCTCGCCTTTTTTATATTCGTGTTGCCATTGCGCAACACTATTTCGGTCCGAATTGGCACCGCCGGCCTCCCTCGAACCGCAATTTGCGCATACAGCGCATTCCTGACAATGCCATCTTCCCTGTGGTACTCGTCGCAAACCAACACAATAGATATGATACCTAAACATGCGGTTCAAATTATACTAAGTAAAATTAATATTTCAAATCAACATTAATAAACATTTCAAATAATAGTTAATTTGCAGCTCTATGTGCAGCAAATTAATATACTTCTAGAAATTATAATTCATATTTTGTATAACAACTTTCTTTCTCTTTTTAACAAGGCAGATATTAAAGCATCGAGTTTCTGAGTTGTAATTGCAGAAGTTTTATGTGATATGTAGCATATATTAAGACTCCTGAGTAATCGTCGCAGCCATGTTGGAATCGTGATATTAAAAGCGAGGAATGATACGTTAATTTATGTTGCATGTTATTTGTAAATAAAGACAATTTGGATAAATCTAAATGACGAGATCGCAATTAAAACATTTGTAAAAATCGACGAAAACTATCCTTTCCTGCCTTGACAGTCAGTAAATGGTACGTAAAGTGAATCTCTTTTCGGGCAGGAATTACACGATCTAACAGCTGTTGAGTGAAATATACACTTTTACGTATAAAATTCCAAGATAACTGTAGTTTCCATTCATTTTTAGGACTTTCAAGTACGAGACAATTCACATTTTCACAATTAAGCAAATAATAACGAAATGGCATGCAATACAAATTTCATTCAAAATGTCACTTTACAATGCCTATAAGTTCAGCTTTATCGTTGCGATAAATGGTTGAACAAGGCGTTGTAACACGTATATAAGCACGAGTTATGTACATCGGCTCATGCTTGTAGCCATCAGTTTCACCAGGCCGCCGTCTGATTCTGTATCGCCACCGTCAACGCAGAGTTCTTAGCTGAGTACTCAGGAGCCTTAAGTTTTTTTTCAAGTAACTTACCCACGATCGCACATATCACAGAAGAGCATTTTGTCTTCATCTGCAGGATCATGACATTGTACACACGTTTTACAATCAGTGCATTGCCATGCGTATGATTGAATGTGTGGTACCATATCTAATGTTAAATCTATACAGGATGGATGAACTGAAAATGATGACGGGCTTGGTTAGCTCCATAAAAAAATCACATGCAATTAAATTTATAATATTATATTTACCGTTTCCATTGCAAGTACCACATTGAATTAATATTTCGTTCTTATTATGTTTATTTAAAACTTTCAGGCACATCTTGCACTTTAACTTTGTGTCATCCTTTGAATTCGAGATTTCCATGTCTACTTCGTCCATAGTCGATTGAGATCCTTCCGTATCTTGTGTACCTTCACTAGAGGATGAACTGTTCAAATACAATCATTATCATATCATTTTTATACTTTATATTATATATAAATATTAATTTATTAGAAATCTAATTCTTAAGAATAAATTATATATTTTATAATGTTATTACCAACCTTGAGTCATCGGAAGATGATTCGCTATCGCTATCACTCTGCGAACCTTCTGATTGACTATCACTTTTACGTTCATTAGGTCGTGTGGGTCCATATAAGACCGTATTTAGCGGATAATACCTCAATTCTGCTGGTGTATATTCCCGATAATAATCGGTATACTGTCCTGGTATCAGAGCAACAGGATAATGACCAACTTTGTGCTCCGAATCGGCTTTATGTTGCTTCTGTGGTTGATGAATTGTGAAAGTCTGCAGATCTAAGCAGTATTTGCGCTGTTCCTTGCGAGCTTTATTTAAATTAGCGTTCCATGTAAATGCGGACTGCATTGCCATTTCTGCGAGATCTATCCTGTTTCTCTCCGCATTTGCCGCCGCCGTCAGTTCCTTCTGCTTCTTGGAATGTTCCTTAACTTGTTTTTCGCGCATATGTTTGCGATATTCTTCGTACTGATCGGGGAAATCACTGCACATTACATCTAGTACTTCGGAGCTACATATTGCAGTTAATCCTGTGTAATGTGATATAGCAATATAAATGTATTTTGTAATATAATATACTGAGATAAATGTACATAATAGAAGAGAGGCATAGAAGTAAAACTAATAGTTCCTAAAATTTTATTTATATTAC